TGTAACTTTCTGACCCGCCGCTACTGGACACCTGTGAAAAAGAGCTTCATAGCTCATCGGGTTTCTCCTGGAGAAACACAGATTCTAATTCTGTATCGAATTGAATGTGTCCATCTTAATTACCTGCAGCGGTGGTGGGTTTCCCAATGTTCGTGCCACTTGTTTAAAATGAGAGTTATCCCTTATTGTTTAAGCTGATATCGAACTCAAACTTACCTGTTTGATTAAAGTTGTCTGCCTTGTGGTCACGTCTGTGCCTCTGAGTCATGAGACACCGCATTTTCGTCCACCATCCAGGGGCGTTGATGATTCACACAGTGACTACGCGAGGTGAAGATTTTGGCTTTCGAGACGAATTCTTTGGTTTACTTTTTAATGTCTAGTCCGACATTGACAGGTACTTGACCAAATACTGTGCGTATGCATGTGCGTATGCAAGTACTACTAGCAAGTCCTACATAAATGACTAACCATGGGTGACTAGGTATGGTTTGTTAAATTAATCTTTCATGATCACAAAACAGAACTGTAGTCTACCTACCAGAACTGTAGTGTGTCATCAATCCAGCTCCTACCTAGAGAGTACTGTCTAGTGACTATGTATATATCTATAATCATCCACACTCTGAATGTGACACACGGAATGGTCCATCCACTCATTGTCATCAGATCAGCAGATAATTTGCTTTCTTTACATATTTACCTTATTTATGACCGATAGAATTTTGTAAATATCCGTCATCACGATTGTCATCATCTTGCAGTTACATTCAGACTGTATAAATGACATTGTTTCATGATGTAGTATCATCGTGGTCAACATGATTATCATCAGCAAGAGACTATTTCAAAGAGCATAACAATCAGGAATAAGAAATAAATAATGAAACAGCTCTCCGCTTAAAATATATATAATGTATTTTTTTTATCCTTTGGCTTCTGAGCCTGCTGAACCAATGTTAAATACCGCAGGAACATCACTCACGGTGCACATTGCAATGCTGCAGTCACAAGGAAGGCTTGCGTTGGTTTTATGTGCCCCGAACCACCTCCTCCTTACAGCTGTATCACTCCACTGGCAGAATCTATCAGAGGCGGCTTCTGTATCAGATGTCACGGGGCGCAGAAGCTGCACCTCGTGACTTTGTGGTAACAATCGAATGCCGGTCAGTTTGAGGATAATGGGTTCACCAGACTGACAAAGGTAACGGCTAAAAGGAGAATATTCAGCACTGTTTTTGCATGTACGTGAAAATAGACCGAAGATGTTACCAACTACCCTTTAAGCCACTGTATGTGCAGTGGTGCCAACCTAATTGCTTTTGACGGAATAAATAATTACGCTCAAATAATGTCACACCCAAAAGTGAACATTTCTTTAAGAAGTATTTTCACTTTGAAATATAAAGAAGGAGCAAATGCACAGAAAAAATGTTACTGTCATATAAATTTTGGTCGAGGTATCGGTGTGTGCACATGGGGGGGAGCAGTGTTGCAGTGGTTAACGCACTGCGCGATGAACCCGGCGAGCCAAGTTCAATTCCTGGCCGTGGCTGATATTCGTGGCAAGTGGAACCTCAACCTGTCCTAGGCCCCCATTTCACCAACACACATTAATACACTTGGTGAAGCATGGTTAGATAATTCCCCCCTCCACCCCTGTGAGTGACGCACACATTATCTATTTATTTGAATTGTGTTAATCTATTCATGTAATGAGGAATTATTAATACAGCGCTATACAAGTGGGAACAGGAAGCTAATAAACAACATAGTGACCCAAATATCGTACAGATTAAAATAATACAAATTGTTATTTCTAATGACAGAATTGCATATGGAAATTATATTGACGATAAGGATTATGATGTTATATTTAAATTCAACATATAAGTATCTCTATACTATATATTTGAATATGTAGTATATACATTTAACAAATACATTATATTGTCTGCAGTACTCACGTGCTTACCATAACCCATGCAAAATCTGCATTATATTGTGCCTGTAAGTTTGGCTCTCATGTCTTAATGTGGTTTCAGGAGGATTGTGTGAAATCAATTGGCAAGGCTAGCTTCAACAAAGTGTTCACAAGGGAACTTGAAAACAAAGCTGCTTCAGGGACATGCCTGTTGCACATGTATATATGTATACCGATGCATTCAATGCAGATGTGTCAGTGGATGCATTAATGACCGTTTCATGGTAGCGTTTCTTGGTCTAAACTTACGTGTTACAGTAGAATGTGAATGCGGGTAACATTCATCCCGTACATTAAACCCTGAAAATTGGTTTTGAAGCTTGCAGAAACAAATAAATGAACTGTAATGAAAGCTTCATAAATCATTTTGGTAATATCGACCAAGCCAAAATGCCACTGCTATTTCCTACCTTTGCCATATCATGCATTACAATCTGCTCTGGCGAAGCAATTCTTGCAGAGATGTATAACCATTAACATTCAGAGCATTATATGTTTTCTACGGTGGTCTAATATAACATGTAGTTAGCAGAGATTAATGATGAATTTTGACATTTTGGTGGGAAAAAAATATTCACCGGCGCCAGTTTATTCAAAAGACACAAATGAGATGGGATAAACTCCCCACATGAGTAACAATTAAAAGAAACGTATGATGAAATCTCGCCTGTAAATAGGGCCCACGCCTACGTGTAATTGCCACTAATCCAGACTTCTTACCTGGCCAGCCGAGCCTCAGTTGTCTTGGGAACACTGACGTGAAACGTGCTTGAGCTTGCAATGATTTACTCCGCATGCCATTTCTTACATACCCATCCTGTGCAGCGATATCCCATACTGGATTTTTTTGTTGTTAAAGGTGGTTGTTCATAAATTCAACGTAATCATTAGCGCCGTTGTTGAGACCGTAAGTAACCAAATAGGTAAGCTGAGAGATATGTTATGTTTAGAAATACCATCGTGTGTTGTGCGTACATTTGTAAGGTGGGAGTTCATCTTGATGTAAAGCTTTCGTGACTGCAGGGATTCATATTCTTGGTTCTTTCGGTAATGTCACGTAGAAGGGAAACAAGAAAATAATAAAAATATAAATCAATAAAATTATCACGACGTTTCCACTGCAACACAAGCAATCATCATTAGGTGTGCTGTGGTTTTCACAGCACACCTAATGATGACTTTACCGAAAGAACCATGAATAAGGTGGGAGTAGTTACGCTCTTGTGTGCTATAAAACTGACGTACCGAGTTAGATTCCAACCATGGCTAACACCTCTGATGAGTGATATCTGAACAGGTCCTAAGGCCTCCATTTCATCAACCCAAACTGGCCCTCTTGTAAAGTATAGCCATAGCACCCCTATAAATGATGTGACTCAGGAAAACATTCATCCAGCAGTGGACCGATAAAAGGATGTAATATAATGTACAGAATAAGCATGTAGTCTGATTTTCTGGGACGACGATTCGTGTTTTGCTGGTGAGAACTGGTCTTTTAAGGTAAAGGTGCAGCCTTGCAATTACTTAACTAAAATTAAACGAATGTTTTATTTAACCAGGTAAGTGCTATGTAGCTCTTTTGCAGAAGTGGCCTGGCCATAAATGATCACCCAATAAAGTGGCTTCTCACGTGGAAATTTATAGAAACCAAATTCTCGAAACCAAATACTCTAATTATTCATACCACTGCCGGCAGAAGGTGCCTCCACCAGATAGGGCTCTACAGAACCCCTAAAGAGAGTATTTGGCCTACTTTTCCATTACTCAGCATACACTTTGACAAAGAACTGTTATGCCAACATTAATTCAATGCCTCCAGCTCGTACAAACCTTTCATTAACGGCTCAACATGCATTCCAAGGTTTTGCTTTTTCTTTACGTCAACCATGCTTATTGACAACGCTTCCTCTCATCCCAACGTCAACATTCCCGGTGGGATTTGAAAAAGAAATGCATGAAAAAACACGGCCGCATGTATTTTCCCATGGAAACGTGCACCACCCATTAAACACACAGACAAAACGTATGGCTGCAAGTGAGGTAGTTTATTTTGCAAGCCCTTGGACGTGTTTCCTGCGCACATTGCATAGGCGTCGTCTGTCTAATCGACGCACTGTTATTACGAATGTTATAACTATTAGCCATGAATGCATATGAAGTGCATTGAATGGGACGGGTATCTTGAGATGTGCATTCGCAGCGTGCGGAATAACGTGCTTTGTACAATGCAGCGTTGTAGGGAGCGGTCGCGCAGTGGTTAGCAGCGCCGCGCAACCAACCACGGCAACCCGAGTTCGATTCACGCTCACTGCCAGCACCAGTGACGATTATCTGAACCGGTCGTGGGCCTCCCCTAGGTCGACTCAGCCTCAAATGAGTACCTGGTGCGGTGTGTAAACATCGCCACTGGGGAGACAAAGGCGTGGTGCTGGTGGCCACCCACCCCCTTGTCTGCCTTGCCTACCTTCATAGGTGCTCACTCATAGCACTTGCCCCAACAGTCTGTTAAGGCTATACGGAGGATCTCTGTCTTTTTTGTAGTGTATTTCCATGTACCCACACGTGTTGCGTTGCATGTGCACACGTGTTTGACGTCGTGGGGGAGCACTGTGGCAACATCGCCGTCGCTTGGTGGCGAGGGGTGCCCGTCGTTGTCGTGGTTGGGGAGAGGTGGGAATTTGGTTCGTAAACTGTGCTGGTGACCTCGTGCACTTGGGTTTGATTCCCAGCCATGGCTAACATCGCTCACAGGCGGCATCTCAGCTTGTGTTGGGCCTCCCGTAGGTCAGCTCAACCGGCGTGCACCGTGTGAATGTCCTCGCTTGGCAGACAAAGGGCAGCCTTGCAGGTTGCTGGCCGTACCAGTCCTCTGTGAGTCGTGCCGGCTTCAATAAGCGCTTTCCAACAGTGCTCTGCTCACAGTTCAAGGGTAAACTGGGGGGAGACTGTGTCTTTTGTGTTTGTGTGATGTAGAAACATTGACCCCGTGCTTTGCTCTTTGTGTTTATTTTTGCAGAGATTCTCATGGACTCCACGTTTGCCACGTCCGAGCTTGGATGGCTGGCTCAGCCAGGGAACGGGGTAAGTGTCGAGATTCGGCCACATCGTTATCGACACACTGTCCTTTCAGGTTTCCGCTGCGTGCCGTTTGGCACGATGTCCGATGCTTAGCCCCACATCCCAGGAGCTTCTTTTTGTCAGTTCCCAAAGAAGCTCTGAAGCACGTGGAGCGAAACATCGACATTGTGCCAAGCAACGCACAGCGCAACCCAAAGACACATTGGAGAGTGATACAGTAATTCCTTGCTTAGTGCCATAGGTGCGTTCCTGATGAGGATGTATGTATGATAAATTTCTTTCGCACCGTACGTAGCCAACCATGCTAATCGGAGGTGTCGTGTTAAGTGTAACACACGTTAAGCGAAAACGATGTCCTACGCATTTATGCAAAATGACTACATTTGAAAGGTTGTTTTCATGCCATTATAAAATGTAAACATTGTTTCCTTGAACTTCATAAGAATATAAGCCTTCCCACATTATTCAGCACTCTTAGGAATTATTCAAGTGCTTAATCAACTGAAAGTAGTGAACTGGATTATCTGATCTTCGATCACCGTGTCTAAATATAAGTTTATCTTTAGTTTTTTGCAAATTTTGACGATACAATCCACACGCAAGCCAAGCTGTATTCCATATCAGCCGTTGTTAGCAAATGCACATGGCTTACTACAATTCCCATATTCTAGCATTTAATCGATACCAAATGCCCTAATTACGTAGCAGAATTAGAGGAATTATTTCTATTTTTATAATTAACCACCTTTTTAAATATTGAAGAGGACTTGATTGTTGTCACCGTAACAGCCTTTTGTGCATCTACATATATAGGACACACCAATTCCAAACACAGCAGAGCGGTGCAGGAAGGATGAATAAAAACAAGTGGATTATAACGCTCCTAATTGTAAAACAGATAAGGTTTTCCCATTGTTTAATGCCACGCGAGGTTTTCTGGGCAAAGTGGCTACACCAGTCATGTGGCTATGGAAAGGGTGCACGTACAGTGAGGGAAAAAAGTATTTGATCCTCTACTGATTTTGTACGTTTGCCCACTGACAAATAAATGATCAGTCTATAATTTTAACGGTAGGTTTATTTGAACAGTGAGAGACAGAATAACAACAAAAAATCCAGAAAAACACATGTCAAACATGTTATAAATTGATTTGCATTTTAATGAGGGAAATAAGTATTTGACCCCTCTGAAAAACATGACTTAGTACTTGGTGGCAAAACCCTTGTTGGCAATCACAGAGGTCAGACGTTTCTTGTAGTTGGCCACCAGGTTTGCACACACCTCAGAAGGGATTTTGTCCCACTCCTCTTTGCAGATCTTCAAGTCATTAAGGTTTCGAGGCTGACGTTTGGCAACTCGAAGATCTGCAAAGAGGAGTGGGACAAAATCCCTCCTGAGATGTGTGCAAACCTGGTGGCCAACTACAAGAAACGTCTGACCTCTGTGATTGCCAATAAGGGTTTTGCCACCAAGTATAAGTCATGTTTTGCAGAGGGGTCAAATACTTATTTCCCTCATTAAAATGCAAATCAATTTATTACATTTTTGACATGCGCTTTTCTGGATTTTTTTGTTGTTATTCTGTCTCTCACTGTTCAAATAACCCTACCATTAAAATTATAGACTGATCATTTCTTTGTCAGTGGGCAAACGTGAAAAATCAGCAGGGGATCAAATACTTTTTTTCCCTCACTGTATAACTCTGCTCTTAAAAGTAAACCAACCATGTGCCAAGGCATAACCGGCCATTATGGGATAATCTGTAACTGCAGTGCTGCATGGAATGGCACCCACAATAAATTGCCAGGTACGATTTCTCCCCTTTAATTTGCATGCAACATTTTTGACATCACCGTCGAACCACGCGTGTGAGCACATGTCATACTCAATAGGTAGCACGCTAGCAAATGCCAGTGAAATGTCACTGCTTTAAAGTCCCCTCCCACAAGACTGCATTCAGTTTGCACCCATTGTGGTAACTAAAATTGTTGCCAACTCTCCAAAAATGAGAGGAATGGAAAGATAATTTAGAAATGTAGAAACCCGAATAGATTCCATAATAGAGGTCTTTTGGGTTAGAGCGCGTAAATATATAAATGTGTCGTTAAAACCCGCCACCACCCGACACAGCCAACTAGTAAGGGTTGTCACATAAACAGAACGTGGCCAATTCGTCACTAGTACAGCACGCCGGTGTGCTGGAGAGCCAAGCCACAACATTTAGAATCTGAGTACGACGTTTGGCCAGTATTTACAACTATCAGGCGACAGCCAGATTTGTGGAGAAGTCCACCTATTTGGTTCCTTATATAGAGGAGGCGTAGATGTGGTGACCACGCTTCTGCGCTCTTGCACAAAGTGGGGGGTGGAGGGGGGGGATTAATGAATAGATTGCCGTGGTGAAAATTTCAGTCATCATTTTTTAATAGGTCAGTGGTGAAAGGTCACAATCGATCACAGTTTTATTTTTTTCCGGTCAGAATGAGCCCATCGGTACGATGGAAATTGTTAAAGTAAGCGCCGTGACTTGCTGACTGACTTGGAGATGAACACATAAGGTTCCTTACAATCCTCATTCATAAAATGTGAGGTCATGCATAATTTGTGCCACCACTCTTTATTTAAATAGGCTTTTGATCTAAATCATACCATGCCTTCTTGATTTTTTTGGCTGCTTGTAAGTTTGTCCTCTAACAAGAGTGGTGCTTCTCTCGTAATTTAAAAACATTTCCAATAATATGCCTTTGTCTTGAGTCGGACACTCTGCACGACCAATGGCGCTTTTGAGTTTTTTGACGTTCCTTAAACTACGACAAGAGAAACACTCCACACGTGGAAGGCAAAGTCTCGCTGAAACAAACTGCAAGTAATGGCCCCTCCGGTCGCACACCCGTGACCTTATTTTCAGAATCAATGTCGCGACCTTTCACACGTTCCGTTTCCCTCCCTATCTCCGTTTCTCCCCCTATCGTTGCCCCCTCTTGGAGAGATGAAGGTGGTTGTCGTGGGTAGAGAGGGCGGATAGGCCAGCGGAAAGTATAGGACTCCCTCGGAAATGTGGTTGTCGCGACATAATGAAAATGTCCAAGCCCTGTGCGTGGAGGTCCTCCGAGTGTTTGTGTGAGATGAGAGAGGTGGTGGGGGGTGGGGGAAGAAAACGCTCTCACGCTCGTTGTACTGCCCCCACTTTACTCTCCGAGCCACTCTCACCTCAGTGCAGCTGCTCATCCTACCTGCACTCCCACCACCCAAAATAATTATAATTTTTTTCCATTTGTACCTCCTCCCTCCCCCGCGCCAACGCACCGTCCCCTGTGTCTACATAAAGCTGTGTTTTGCACCTCATTGGAACACGCAGCCTCCCAAGAGTAAGCAAGATGCGTGTTGACAAAACACGGGTGACCCAGATGCTACCACTCCACAAACTAATTAGATCCTTCACTTTCCAAGCAACGTCTAACCATAATTACAGGGCTGTAGGCATTAGTTTTAAGGCACCACAATTTTTTTTTTAATCTTAGTAGTGGTCACGTGACTTGCCCGTGCCCCGTGCATGCTTTAATATATGATGCCGTTCTTAAATTCCAAATTTGGCCGATAGCATTTCAGGCTTGTTTTTGCTTAGTTGGACAAACGAAATCATAAATTTAAAACTAATTAAAGTGACTTGAAGTAAAGTTTCAATTTCCAGTGGTTAATTTATGTCATAGTCACTGGCAGAAACCTGGGTATCCATCATGTGTTCCTTGCTAATAGGTACCAAATGTCAAATAAAAAGTTCCATGCATAAAATATACATTTTTATTTGTCCCCTCCCCCCATCAAACTCTACGACATATATTTTTTTAATTTAACATGTATCTGCTTCCAGCAGTGTGCTGGCAATATGTTCTGCATGTAAAGCTTAAAGCACAATCGCTTTGAAGGCGATACAGCTACTCAGCATTTAAACAGGAGAGTGCACGTTTCACTTGCAGGGTGGTCGACCTTTAGAAGGCAAGTCCATTTATCCGGTTTACTAAGTAACAATTGGGCAGTGCTCATCTCTATTAGTAATTCCAACACCGTGGTTAATGAGGACAAATCTCTACTCAAGACCAATTCTGTCGACTGACCATCAATTGATGATGACCGAGATATACTAATTTTACTGAACCCCCACAGTGACAATAGGTTAAATAGATCCTGGTCATCTAAATCTTGATTTCTTGGTTAAGTCTTCTTTGGTTCTTTCGGTAAAGTCACGTAGAATGAGAATAAAATAATAAATTGATAAAATAAAATAACACAATAATATTCTCACGACGTTTCGGCCACAACACAAGCGGCCTTCATCAGGTGAAGGGACGAGACTGTCTGGTAGGACAGCGCTGGAGTGAAAAAGCCACGCTCAGATCACGACCTTTAAGCTGTGTGAGAAGAAACAAAGCGCCTTGACAAAGGAATTAGCATATAATTTAGCATTGAAATGGCTGAGTGGTTAGCTTGTGACTGGTCACAGAAATGGCTATGTTAAAGTTAAAGCATACACAGCTTAAAGGTCGTGATCTGAGCGTGGCTTTTTCACTCCAGTGCTGTCCTACCAGACAGTCTCGTCCCTTCACCTGATGAAGGCCGCTTGTGTTGTGGCCGAAACGTCGTGAGAATATTATTGTGTTATTTTATTTTATCTATTTATTATTTTATTCTCGTTCTACGTGACTTTACCGAAAGAGCCAAAGAAGATCACTCATTGCAGTCACGAAAGCTTTAAATCGAAATTCTTGGTTAAGGTGAAGATCCAAGTTCCACCCTTGCTCGGAAGTGTGGGGGAATGACAACAAACGAGACCTGCTTTGTGTTTAGTTTGTTGTCATTCCCCCGCGAAAAAAGTTCAACATACATACGTGCATGTGTAGAGGTGTTATGGGATGGTGACACGCGGTTGTAGGGCGATGGCTACAACCACGTCCGCTATGGCCACCACCCTGGGGGGCTGTGGGGGATGCTAGGATCCCTCCCAGCCCCACCCCTCAGTGAGGGACAGTATAAAAGGTGGGACCCGGAGAGCTGAGAGGAGTTCGACTCAAGCAAGATGAAGAACCAGTGAAGAAAGAAGATCGACTAGCCAGACCCTGGAACTCCTTTGGCCCGCTGTGCGTTTGAGGGCCGGGCAAGGCAAGCCAGGGTGTGACACCAGAGCCACGAGGCCTGATGTCCTTCTAAGGGCCGGGCTCGTGTGGCTGGTGATCGGGACCTGCGCCGAAGCTGGGCCAGGTCAGACAGCCTCCTGAGAGAGGACCAGGATAGAGGGAACCAGGGAGCTAGCGTGGGCTAAAGCTCGGGAACCGTTCCCTCTATAGAGTACAGGAGAAGAGGCCGTTACCTCTTCAAGTATCAGATTCGCCACTGTAATTGAAGCGTCTGTAATAAATGCGTGTTGCCTCCAAGTCTCCGGCGTCAATAAGGCCACTACACATGGACCACTGCTGGCAGAAGGGCCTTGACTAGAGGGAGCTCTAGAGAGCCCTCCACAGAGTAATTTGGCCTACTCTTCCATTCAGAGACAGGTATCTTGCAAGAGGTCAGGAGTATGCCAGACTTTACCTCGACGAATGCGTACCCATTCATACCGAAGCTCCGCACTGCTGCCTCAACTGCCGTGCCGGGAGATCGAATAGAACAGGCGACCTCTGGAATGCAAGTCCAGTGTGCCGACCAGTACACTGCGGGTCAACATCTGTGATGTCTTAGATAGCTTGTCATAATGCTTGACCAAACTATTTATATCCTGACCACAGGATGAATACAAAAGTTACCGCGTGTGACATTATACCTTCCATTATTATTATCATGGCTATCCGTGGATTACGTAATGCCGTCTTACCAAATTGAGCCTGTTAAAATGCATTCCAAATCAAGCAAAGCCAGTGTTGGCTGACATCATAAAACAGGCTCGATATATAAATACAGAATGGCTCACTTTGATGCTTTGCCATAGCATTAATATCTAATGTTTTCAACAGCAATGGCATAAAAAATATTGACAGGAAAGTTTGCACTTCCAAACAAAGTGCAAATTTATACCATTTATGTTCAGCATTCACTGCCCGGCCTCAATGTGGCTTGGCACACAATTATATCATGCGAATGCTTGATCAGATTATACTCATTCACATTACAAACTTCGTGATATATTCCCTGAGGTTGACTATGCTGGATGTTGCTTGACAGCAATTGTAGGCATGTCTAATAAACTGAACTTTTATTGCACGTGGCTTTGAATACAGGTGCAGAACTTTTCATGAAAGTTTTATGTATGTAAAATTACAATGGAAAATGACTAAGTATTGGTTTAAAATAGGGGTCGCAATGGTCATATTGCACATTTAGTGGCTCAGTGTGCATTCCACAAAAGGAATAATTGTGCCAAAGCGTAAGCGATTTCTGCCAAGAATTCACGAGCGTGTCTTTTTTTGCAAATCACACAGTGCAGTCTGCCAAGCACACAGTGCTGGATTGCTAGTCCTGGCACTCGTGTGTATACAGTGAGGGAAAAAAGTATTTGATCCCCTGCTGATTTTGTACGTTTGCCCACTGACAAAGAAATGATCAGTCTATAATTTTAATGGTAGGTTTATTTGAACAGTGAGAGACAGAATAACAACAAAAAAATTCAGAAAAACGCATGTCAAAAATGTTATAAATTCATTTGCACTTTAATGAGGGAAATAAGTATTTGACCCATCTGCAAAACATGTCTTAGTACTTGGTAGAAAAACCCTTGTTGGCAATCACAGAGGTCAGACGTTTCTTGTAGTTGGCCACAAGGTTTGCACACATCTCAGGAGGGATTTTGTCCCACTCCTCTTTGTAGATCTTATCCAAGTCATTAAGGTTTCGTGGCTGACGTTTGGCAACTCGAACCTTCAGCTCCCTCCACAGATTTTCTATGAGATTAAGGTCTGGAGACTGGCTAGGCCACTCCTAGACCTTAATATGCTTCTTCTTGAGCCACTCCTTTGTTGCCTTGGCCGTGTGTCTTGGGTCATTGCCATGCTGGAATACCCATCCACGACCCATTTTCAATGCCCTGGCTGAGGGAAGGAGGTTCTCACCCAAGATTTGATGGTACATGGCCCCATCCATCGTCCCTTTGATGTGGTGAAGTTGTCCTGTCCCCTTAGCAGAAAAACACCCCCAAAGCATAATGTTTCCACCTCCATGTTTGACGGTGGGGATGGTGTTCTTGGGGTCATAGGCAGCATTCCTCCTCCTCCAAACACGGCGAGTTGAGTTGATGCCAAAGAGCTCCATTTTGGTCTCATCTGACCACAACACTTTCACCCAGTTGTCGTCTGAATCATTCAGATGTTCGTTGGCAAATTTCAGACGGGCATGTATATGTGCTTTCTTGAGCAGGGGGACCTTGCGGGCACTGCAAGATTTCAGTCCTTCACGGCGTAGTGTGTTACCAATTGTTTTATTGGTGACTATGGTCCCAGCTGCCTTGAGATCATGGACAAGATCCTCCCGTGTAGTTCTGGGCTGATTCCTCACCGTTCTCATGATCATTGCAACTCCACGAGGTGAGAACTTGCATGGAGCCCCAGGCCGAGGGAGATTGGCAGTTCTTTTGTGTTTCTTCCATTTGCGAATAATCGCACCAACTGTTGTCACCTTCTCACCAAGCTGCTTGGCAATGGTCTTGTAGCCCATTCCAGCCTTGTGTAGGTCTACAATCTTGTCCCTGACATCCTTGGATAGCTCTTTGGTCTTGGCCATGGTGGAGAGTTTGGAATCTGATTGATTGCTTCTGTGGACACGTGCCTTTTATACAAGTAACAGGCTGAGATTTGGAGCACTCCCTTTAAGAGTGTGCTCCTAATCTCAGCTCGTTACCTGTATAAAAGACACCTGGGAGCCAGAAATATGTCTGATTGGGAGGGGGTCAAATACTTATTTCCCTCATTAAAATGCAAATCAATTTATAACATTATTGACATGCGTTTTTCTGGATTTTTTTGTTGTTATTCTGTCTCTCACTGTTCAAATAAACCTACTATTAAAATTATAGACTGATCATTTTTTTGTCAGTGGGCAAACGTACAAAATCAGCAGGGGATCAAATACTTTTTTCCCTCACTGTATATATATATATTTTTATCAGACCCTGTCTTCATTTTGCCTTTTTAAACGTAGAGAGCTTGTAATCCATGCCTGGCTCCAGCAGCGTAAAGCCTTACGCGGGTAAAAACATCTTTATGAAGATAAATGGTTGAAAAAGATTAAGTCCGTTGTGAGCTTTTTTTTTGCTGCAGCTGTGTAGCTTTTCTTGAATGAAGCTATGCGCTGTATAAAATAGTATTAGAAGGGTTAAAAAAAATAAGAAAAGAGGCAGAAACCTTTCCGAAGTGAACATCTTCATTTCTGGCAAAAATAACAGCCCCGTGCTTTCACCAGCTGTATAACTTCCCTCAACAGCATCCGCTACATTTAACCCACAATGCAGGCGCATCTTCCACATTGCAAACATCCGCAATGCACCTCCCCCCCCCCCCCCCCATACGGATTTGCACTTGTTGGACGCCGAGAGAAGCCTCGGCAACTCCGGCACCCTGCTACTCGCATCCCGTCTCAACCGTCCCAGGGAGCACGATGCGCTCGCGCTGCTCATCTAAACCACTCCCCCCACCCCGCTGCCCTGCCCTGCCCCCCTTCCATTTCACAGTGGGAAGAGGTGAGCGGCTACGACGAGAAAATGAACGCCATCCGCACCTACCAGGTGTGCAACGTGTTCGAGCCGAACCAGAACAACTGGCTGCGCACCGACTACATCGAGCGCGGCGGCGCCCAGCGCGTCTACGTCGAGATTAAGTTCTCGGTGCGCGACTGCAGCAGCATCCCCAACGTGCCGGGCTCATGCAAGGAGACCTTCAACCTCTACTACTACGAGGCCGACGGCAACACGCAGGGCAACGGCGGCGGCCCACCCTGGACCGAGAGCCTGTTCGTCCGCGTGGACACCATCGCGCCCGACCAGAGCTTCTCCGAGGTGGACATGGGCGGCAAGGTGCTGAAGATCAACACGGAGGTGCGCAGCTTCGGGCCGCTGACGAGGCGCGGCTTCTACCTGGCCTTCCAGGACTACGGGGGCTGCATGTCGCTCATCACCGTCAAGGTCTTCTACCGCAAATGCCAGCGCGTCGTGCAGAACTTCGCCGTGTTCGGAGAGACGCTCACGGGGGCCGAGAGCACGTCGCTCGTGATCGCGCGGGGCACGTGCGTGCCCAACGCCGAGGAGAACGACATGCCCATCAAGCTCTACTGCAACGGCGACGGCGACTGGATGGTGCCCATCGGGAGCTGCACCTGTCGCTCCGGTTATGAGCCCTCGGAATCGCGCACGACTTGCAAAGGTGAGCGACGGCGGCAGGTCTCTGCTAGCAACCCCCATCCCACCCACCCACCCCCCTCTTCCCCCCACCACTGTCCGTTTTTGAACAATTCATACAATTAAGCGATGGGCGTCACAACGCTTTGTCAGGTGCATAGAGGGTGAGAGCCGGAGCAGAATGCGCGGTAGGCAAGATAAGGTTGTGTCGTCATTCGTTCTGCCTACCGTTTAGAAATGCAGCTTGCAGCTCGTTTAGCGTTGACTGACAATGTCACACTCCTCTCAACGCCACCACCCGCCCATCCCCACTCACATCATTCTATAATGTGGTTAATTGGCCAGCAGACATGGCCTAATGTTATTCAAATAACGTCACAGGATCTCTGAAAATCCACTGTGTAGGAGACAACTCTTGCTTAATGGTTACTTACAACTACAGTTTGCATGACTGCGGTATTAACCAGGGTGGCGGCTGGGCTTGAACTAGGGACCTCTGCTGAAGGCTGCAAAACACACTGCCCCAGATAGCCACATCACCGCCAAATGGCTACGCAATGGAATAGGGGATCTGATTAATAGGTTTGTCATCAGACATTACACCGTGTTTTTGATTACATTCACATAATAGCATGTCATAACAATAACACAGCGAGCCACTGCTGTTGTTCGGTGTGCGTTCCTTGGAGTTTTGCACGAAGCTCTGTTGCATTAAATTCTGTAGTTGTTGGCCATGAAGAGCCGCCTCGCGTGGATAAACTTCACGTGACCGAAATAGATTAATTTTCTTGGGACCTTTCAATGTCCAAAGAAATCTTTATAAGTAGGCCTGGCCAATAAAACAGCAGTTTCACTTATAGGAGACACAGTCTACCATCCCAAGCCAACCAATACACAACTGCACGCATCTGCAAGAGTGGGGATTTCTTTCCGAGCTGCACTGGCGTGGAAGAAATGGAGCGCTTTCCGTTTTGCTCGCCGAGGTGTTTTTGGGTTGGTACCGTATTTCATTCAGCACGAAACGTCTACGTGCTGAGAGCGTCCTCAGACGCTCCTGCAATGCGGAGCGAAACATCAAAGATCACGCCGAACAACGCGGCGTACAAACTGTGAACGCACATCTGAGAGCCACCCGGCACAACCGCAAACACCTACACAGCGGTGCTTTCTATTTTACTTTCCAAAGGAGACCAAAATTGCACCCCCGCACATATTTCGGCAAACACAGGTAGAGCTTTGGACGCAGCTTGGGTTTTTAAGAAGTGCGAAATGCACAGTTGGTCCTTGCGATGCATGCACGCTGACAGAAAACACACGTGGAGGCCGTTATGCTGGGATTTTTTTCTCACTTTTCTGCCAAAACTTCGGGTGCTATGGGAGCGCCTTCTGGGATATGGGGAAACCAATAAATCTTGCCGGGAGCCACTTGCAGAAACGAATGTTTTCTGATAACATTTGCACATTTGAAACACAGATTCCTTCCTCCCCCCAATGTATTGGACGTTTATGTATTTATTTAAATCAAATGTAATAATCATCACTAGCCATCGATTATCCACTGCTAGATAAATGTGTCCCCATGCTGGTGTCCACATGCTGCCACCTTCGCTCGTGCTGATGTCACAGTCCATTTCAATCCTTCACGTGCGTTGATCTCTGTGCATCCTCTTGGATGCATTCTCTCTTACCAGTCCCATCTATCAATGGTAATTCCTTATGGCAATGTGTCCTGCCCAAGTTTCCTTGCTTTTCACAACAGTCAATATGATGTCTGATTTGTATTTGTTTTGCTGATCCATGCGCTCTCTTCCTGTCTGAACATGCATCTGCCCTTGTTCCTTTCTACACATTTCTGCTCTTGTCCCATTGTTTTTGTCACTTTCCGTGTTTCTGATATATATAACCGTTGGCCGTATGCACTGACTAAATTGTTTTGTTTATCCTTGGGTACATTTGCATGTTTTTGTTCGTTTTAAAGTTCAGCTTTCCAAAAGCCCTCCACTGTGCTTCGCTCCCTGTTTACTCATTTTCATCCCAGACCCAATGTTAATTATTGCTCGTGCGTATCTTGCTTAGACAACCAATTCCACAGACTTGTGTTGTTCATAAAAGTCACGTGCATTAAGTTTGCGAAGCAAAATCGTCGTTGGACGAAGATACTTTGAAAACTAAACAAAATGTACAGGACACATAATGTATTTCTGATATTCAGAGTTTACATTCATGCATAATAAATGTTTTTGGGTTAGATCGCGTTATTTATAAATGTGTCGTAACCCTCCACCACCCGACATGGCCAATCAGCGAAAAAAAGTGTCACGTTGACAAAAGACAAATTGTTCACTACTTTGGCCCACCGGTGTGTTGAAAAGTGCATCCACAGCTGTGGATTCACTCTTCACGAAAGCCTACGTGTTTTACATTCATGATATGACAGATGAACAACAATGTGCATTCTCTTCTCTATAGACATTGTATCTCTTCTCGTGGCCACATAGCTTTTCCTTATTTGTTATATTTAACCACAGGATGTATTCATTTCACAATGTTTTTTTCTTTCAGTTACATAAAATAATAATGTAGAAACCTTTTGTCAAACCACTGCTGGATGAAGACCTAGTAAAGCCATGTTGGTCATGAGAGTTGTTTCACCTATACCGCACCATACTTCACCATGCTTGTCAGTGTGGAGGAAACATGGTGGGGTATTGTCTTGGACCTCTACATACATCATTCCGGACTGATGTTAGCGGTGTGTGGATGGTATGGAATCAAACTTGGTCCATTAGATTAATGGAACATGTCAGTTCAGAACTGTAAATGGGAAACAAACAAGAAAAGACTGCGATATACAAAACAGGTGTCAACCCCAACTTTGTGTAACTTGTGTTGAACTTATTGGTGTGGCAAAATATTCATTGGATGGATATGTTCCAATGTGTTCAATCGGTGTCAATGGGTTAATAACGATGATGGCACAGCTCTCGTATTAGACCAGTAATAGGCTGCTTAACTAATTAACTCAATTGATAATTGTGGGCTTGGGTTAGTGGTTGGAAAACGATGTGGATTGAGAATTTTTTTTTTAACTCATTGTGAGAAAAAACGCATGTGCTAGACAACAATGATGCATATGACACGCGTAACAATATGTCCATACTGTCTGATTTCTTTTCCACTTTTTAAAATGTTCAATGACCATTAATTATTTCATCAAATTCAATTTTGTTTAGAGATGACTAAATGAGTCATACGTCACCATAATAATAGCATATGATATAAATTAATGGCTTATTCCGTGCAAGGGCAAACGTTTCAGAATTTCTCGAATATTTTAATGTGTCCGGGCCCTATAGGCATTAACACAAGCTGTATTTTATATATATACAAACAATGACGAATACATAATCAGAAGCATGCTGGTCATCCAGAAGTTAATGGTTCTTTGTGGAGCAAAAAATAAATTCAAAACAAAAACCATAAGTATCTTGGGATTCGAGGCCAGTACAATTCATTTCCGCACGCTGGGAGTTATGGTTGTGGCGCTGGCAACCAATGCTCTGGTGTTGCACCCAATCCTTCTGTTCATTGTACGGCGATACAGCGGTCGGTCTGATTAACACAATGGAGGGCGGAGGGGCTGTTTTGCTTCCCATCCTGGGTTTCGTTCAATTAAGGAGGGCTGCTGACGTCCACACTCGACCTTACGTTCCCACGTCCTCCCAGGCGATCGGCGATGGTTTTTCTGCGCTAGATGCTCTCATGGGTAAATTGACGTGGAGCTCGACGTTGGAGTGGCACGCGCGCCCTCGCTGGCGGACGTGCGGTTTAAGCGGGCAATGACTGAAAATTATATAGGGTCCAGTTACCCTTCCTTAATTTGCGAATTTGATTTTTTTTCCTTCCACAAAGCTGTTACCTGGAAGGCTTCCAACGCAATGAGCTTCCCACGCCACCCAAAGTGCACTGTTACGTGTGCGGCCCTGTTGAATAATAGGAGAGCATCGATTAATGACTTTTCATTTGCCTAACCTTATGCTGGTACAGGAGGTTTATGTAATAGTTCATCGTTTTCAATTGATTTGTCTTTAATTTCATTTGCATATCTCATTGGTGGTGCTGTTCATAAATAACATAATTAAATTAACAAAGACAAAGATATCCCCTATTAAAGCTGTGACAGACTTTTGGGGCACCTATGAAGGCCACCATGGTGAGTGGGCACCAACACTCGTAGAAACGTGTGTGTAGAATATTTCGCTGCTATACATTTCCACGTGATAAGACGCTTAATTGAGCTTTCATTTGTGGCCAGGTCGGTTTTTGAAAAATAGCGAACAGCTCAGTGGGGTTTACCGAGTAAGTATAAATAAATAAAATAGTTTCGTTTTAGTATATTTATTCATAGTGATTTGCTTACGTTCCCTATGCTTAGCATTCCTATAAAACAAAATTGGTATTGTTTGCTCATCTGTTGAAAAAAAACAAACTTCATAGCTCTTCAGATTTCTCCAGAATGCTCGGGTACTGTTTCACTCCAGCACTGAAATTGGTCCAAATTGGGGAACATGTTTTACTCATGTTGTATTATACTTTGCATTTATTATTATAGTCTTCTTTTTTATTGTGTCCATCGCAAAACATGATGATGACTGCGGAGAACAGCACGCAGCATTTTCCTGCACGCTGTTGGGATGAGAGCCCTTTCCCCCTTGACCTATACGTTAGATGGGATGTTTTGAAGCTGTCTTGTTTGCTTCATCAGGATGTGCTTGAAATTCGAATCGCTTTCATTGTTGCATTAATAGACATTGTACGAACAGTCGCAAGCTCTCACGCGCGTCCACTGTGTTGTTCCGACCACGTTTAAAACGTCGTGAAAATATAAAGTCAACTCCCGTAAATATTTACGCGAGGGGTGGAAGGCCGCTCTTGGAGAACACGGAATTAAGGGTCGCGATTTTGATTCGAGAGTTTCATCTTTGTGTTGTAGTCGTTGTTCACATTGTGGCGAGCGTAGCAGTT